GTAGAGGATGGGACTGAGGACACATCCCTGTGGGGTGCCAGTGTTTGTAACAATGCTGGCTGAAGTCCTATTACCAATCCTGACAGTCTGGGGCCTGCCAGTCAGAAGTTCCGGGAGCCAGTCACAGAGATTGGGACCCAGCATGGACAGTTGGTGGATGAGTTTGTGGGGGATAACCGTGTTGAAGGTGGAGCTGTAATCAATGAAGAGTATCCTGATGTAGGAGTCTCCATTTTCCAGGTGAGAAAGGGAATAGTGGAGGGCTATTCATTAGATTGGAAACCCTATCTTTTTGTGCCTCTCCTCTTACCACTGTGCTATGAGCTCAATGTCAAGAAGACCTCAGTATTTTACAAAGTATCTACCAATAACCTTAAAATTGCAGTAATAAGTATTTGTATTGTTCGGCATGTCTATGTATTTTGAAAGAGCTCCTTCATAGTGACAAGTCCACAAAGAAAAAACCCAGCACAGCAGTTCCTGCAAGCTCTACAGTGTTTACAGACCTCATACATACACAGATCATTCAGTGGTTGAACTGATCATCAGACAAACACCTGAACAGCTCAATGCACTTTTAGTATGACTGTATTAGTTGAAATCACTGTGTTGAGCACCTTTTTTCAGTGCAGTGTTAAAGAATAAGGTCTTTTTAAATTAATACTTTATATAAACACTGACAATACACTTTATATAATCCTGTTTCAAGGGTTATTGTATCCATTTGTATGGTAAAAGCAGTTATGGTGTCTATGTTTTTTATTAACAAGCCAAACACACAAAAAGTAGAAATATGTTTATTGTGTCAACAGTCATAATTATTACATGTAAATCATGTGGATCAAACTGGCTCTTTGTATTGTTCGGCATGTATTTTGAAAGAGCTCCTTCATAGTGGCAAGTCCACAAAGAAAAAACCCAGCACAGCAGTTCCTGCAAGCTCTACAGTGTTTACAGATTTCACATACAGTTTTCAAAAGCCTCAAGTGGAATCATGTAATGTGTTTAGCTGATAAAAAGCTTTGCGGAAAGCTGATGGTGTGAAGCTACACCTTGCTTTCCATTTTAATTGTTTAGACATGTAATTTAGTGTTATAATACTATGCTTCTTTTTAAATTAATACTTTATATAAACACTGACAATACACTTTATATAATCCTGTTTCAAGGGTTATTGTATCCATTTGTATGGTAAAAGCAGTTATGGTGTCTATGTTTTTTATTACAAGCCAAACACACAAAAAGTAGAAATATGTTTATTGTGTCAACAGTCATAATTAGAAACATATTGGCATTTCAGCAGGTTTGGCATGTCTATGTATTTTGAAAGAGCTCCCTCATAGTCGCAAGTCCACGAAGAAAAAAACCCAGCACAGCAGTTCCTGCAAGCTCTACAGTGTTTACAGAAAATGTGGATGTGTAAATAAGCAAATATTTGCTTACTTACAAAATTATAGGCAATAACATAGTGTTTGTTAACAGCTTGCTTGCTGATAGACCCCAGGTTTATGTGGCTTTAAAATAATAAGTTTTCAATTACTCTTGATTTAGTGACTGTGCCTTTAATTGAGACTTGCTCTTTGAACACTTTTATGAAATTCAAAACCTGACACCCAGGAAAAGTGTGCAAAAGCCTTTCCCAGCACTGTCTTAACAATAACAGGTTCCCCACTCCCTCAGTCCTGAATACAAAAGGTCACATACAGTTTTCAAAAGCCTCAAGTGGAGTAATGTAATGCATTTAGCTGATAAACAGCTTTGTGGAAAGCTGATGGTGTGAAGCTACACCTTGCTTTTCATTTTAATTGTGCACTACTTGCACTGAAGTCAGCCACCTGGGTCCGTCCTTTTTTTGACTCGCTCACCTCTGTGTCCGAGCGGATCTAACAATTGTTTAGACATGTGATTTAGTGTTATGGTAAAAGCAGTTATGGTGTCTATGTTTTTATTAACAATCCAAACACAAAAAATTGAAATATGATGTTTATTGTGTCAACAGTCATAATTAGAAACATATTGGCATTTCAGCACTCTGTGTAAAACATTAATGAAGCTTTAAGTTTCCAAAATCACCTTGGTATATTTTTCCAGAAATGATCATTCTGAATGCTACCCTGAACCAGTTGTAAAAGAATGCGTAGACAAATGGGTTTAGCATGGAGTTTGACCTTCCAAGCCAACTAAATGCTTCAATGACAAAAACAGGAATTGCATAGTTACTCACAGGCTGAAAGGTGAGGCAAAGAAAAAAAGGAGTCCAACACACCAGAAACACTCCCATCACCGTAGCCAGAGTTTTAGTGGCCTTTCTCTCCACCTTACTGACAGTTGCTCCAGATGCTGTGTTCTGGATTCTGTGGGCCTGTTTTTGTGCCACCTGCAAAATCTTCAAGTAGATACAGAGCATGATACTTGCTGGGAGATAAAAAGATCCAATGCACACAAAAGTGGGTGTTATTTTGACATGAAATGGACAACTGTCAACACATTTTTTCTTGCTGAAACCTGCAATCATTACACCAACTGCAATTATGACAGAAACACTCCAGCTCACCAAGATCATGATGGTAGCAACATGATCATTTATTTTTGTTCTGTATCTCAGAGGTCGACACACTGCATAATATCTGTCAACAGAAATACAGCACAGGTGAAAAATTGAAGAGTTGTTCAGCGCTATATCAAAGCTGCTTCTTATTTTGCAAAGTAAACTTTCATAATACCAACAGGAGGATTCAGGTTCGGCAGTTTGTGCCATGCTAAAAGGACAGATTAAAATCCCAACAAGCAGGTCGGCCACAGCTAGAGAGAGGACGAGGTAATTTGTAGGAGTGTGGAGCTGTTTGAAGTAAATGATGGAAATTATTACAAGAAGATTTCCACATGTTATAACTATCGAATAGCATCCATAGAAAAGGCCTAATAATATGCTTATTACTATAGGGCTGATAACCTTTAAACATGTTGCATTTAATGAGTCATCACAGGTATATTGTTCCTGAAAAGTATCAGTTTTGTTTAAAATTAACTGGCGGCCCATTGCTTCTGCTTTCTACAATGCAGATAAAGACGTTTACAGAACTATTTATTTTGGCATAAATGAACAGTTAAGTAGCTTTCTGTAACCACATAAGACAATGTCATATTATTTTCACTCATCCTACTGCAATGTTAATCCCTCTTGCTTCTAGTTTTATCTGTGGCAAGTAGCTATGTCAGTCTGTATCTTTTTTTCATAACTAATTTATTCATCAGCTAACCAATCAATTGTGGGAAAATATGAGTCATGAGCTGCCAATCCTTATTGTATAGATGCTGAGTCTGTGTATGTGTTTGTGTGTCTACATGTATGAATATGCATGTATTGACAGTGACAGTCTTCAAAAATAAATAAAGAATAATTAAACAATTCTCAGGCATGTAATACATTGCCATTTCAGATGTAAAACATATAAAATATACTTTCTCTAAGCCCATGGCCCTAAACCATCTGATGAGAAATCTAATGTAGTTCTTACTGTCATGATTCTGTCCCGTCGGCTTCTGTTCTCATGCTTTTATTTTGACATTACTTCCTGTTTCAATTTCACTTCAGTTTCAGACTTTTTACTTTAATCAACACTCATTGTTTACACCTGTTTTCACCTCATTATAAGCAGCTTTTCCCCACTGGAAAGCTGCCAGATTGTTCTAACTCCTGTTCATACTTTCCAGCAGTTCACCTGTTCCTGTGATTCCAGCTCTGACCCCGGATTACTGTTTGACCATCGAGTTTTGCCTAGCCCAGTGTTACTGCTTGTGTTTTTCTGTGTATTGACTATCGGACTCCCCTCTCTGACCTCTTGTTTGTGGATCCCTCAGCTGTGTAAGTTTGCTGGCTCTGACCCTGGACTGTATTATCAACCTGAGAATGTGTTTCGAGTTTACATAGTTTTCTGTATCGTTTTGTTACCAGTGCGATGATTAAAGAGACAGTGTTTTACTTATCCTCGTCTAGCTCTATAATTGAGTTCACCCCGTGACTTCATCGGCAGCATAATGCGCCAATTCCTGACATGTATGCACTCCCGACAACATCTGGGCATGGTCCTGATGAGTTCGCATATGTTGTTCTGGGGGATCTCCTCCCAGACTTGTATCAGGGTATCAGTGAGCTCTTGGACAGTCTGTGGAGGCACCTGGTGGTGCCTGGTCAGATGCACGATACATAATGCCCCATTGGTGTTCAGTGGATTTAGGTCAGGGGAATATGAAGAGCAGTCAATGGCAACAATGCCTTTGCCATCCAGGAACTGCCTACATGCTCTGACCACATGAGGCCAGGCATTGTCCTGCACCAGGAGGAACCCAGGGCCCACTGCACCAGCGTAACGTCTGACAGTCACCATGAGGATTTCATCCTGGTACCTCACAGCAGTCAGGGTACTGTTAACTATGACATGGAGGCCCGCATGGCCCTGTGAGGATGTGCATCCCCAGACCATCACTGACCACTAAACTGCTCTATGATGTTACAGGCAGCATAACATTCACCACAGCGTCTCCAGACTCTTTCACTCTCTATGAACCTGCTCTCATTTGTGAAAAGAACGTGGTGCCAGTGGCAAACCTGCCGATTATAGTGTTCTCTGACGAATGTCAGTCGAGCTGCATGCTGCCGGGCTGTGATGTATATAGTGGACGTCAGTTCCTCATGACTCCCTCATGGAGTCTGTTTCTGATGGTTTGTCAGAAATATGCACACATTATGCTGGAGGTCATTCTGTAGGGCATTTCAATCCTCCTCTTGTTCCTCCTTGCACAAAGGAGTAGAATCCGGTCCTGCTGCTGGGTTGTTGCCCTTCTATGGCCCTGTCCAGCTCTCCTGGTGTAATGCCAGTCTCCTGGTATCTCCTCTATGGTCTTGAGGCTGTGCTGGGAGATGCAGCAAACATTCTTGCAACTGCACTTATGGATGCGCCATCTTGAAGTACCTGGACTACCTGTGCAACATGACTGGGCTGCAGGTACTGCCTCATGCTACCAGTAGTGAAAAGGACACTAGAGAAACACAAAGTGTGAGAAACATCATTCAGGAAGGATCAGGAGAGAGCATTCCCTTTTTGGGGGTTGTCTTGTTTTGTCTTCGTTGCAGCTGTTGTCACTTATTTCCACCAAAGCAGGTGAAACTGATTCACAATCACTTGTGCTTCCTAAATGGACATATTGATATCCCTGAAATTTAACTGACTTGGTGTTATACAGTGAAGATTATATGTTCTAATTTTTTTGAGCAGTATATTTTCAGCTGTCCCCATACAAAGCCTATAACTGACAATGAATTGCCTCTGTTCACAGTTAATGACTGTCAGCTGTTAGTCCTGGATCAGCTTCTTCATCTCTGCTGTAGACCTCTGGTGTTGTTAAAAATTATTTTTAAAAAATCAAGGAAACACACTGGATGACCATTTTTTCATAAAGAAACACCAGACCCGACTAAATTGCCCCAAAGTCTCCGGGCGACTATAATTTCCTGAAGTCAGCACTGCGCATGTGCGTGATTTTGTGAGCACTCATCTTTGCTCACATTCATGCTCAGGTTTGGTGATTGCAAATGAAGAACCATGTCACTAAGTGCAGCAATGTGTTTCACTGATCTGTTTAAATTGATTTTGAACAATAACGAAGGTCTGTGGCACAGTCAAACAAGCTCATCCAGAGCTGACACACTGACGGACATTAACCGTGAGCAGAGGCAAATCATTGTCTGTTTTAGTCTCTGTGTGGAGATTGCTTTAAATACTGTTAATATAGAAAGCAACTGTCATGGTTGCTCTCCTTTTTCCATTTTTGTGCTTTTGGTTTGGTCTTTTCTGTTCCCTCTCACTTCACCTGCTCTAGCTTCACTCTGGTCTCTATCACCACTCATTAGTTTCACCTGTCCCTCGTTGTCTCTCGTTCACAGTCATGTATATATACTGTTCCCTTCCCTCAGTTTGATGCCGGCTCATTTCGTTAATGCTACGATACTCACCGCCACATACCTGGAACTGCTGTCATCACGTCTTTTGAGCAAGTTACTCCTGAACTCTTGGCTCGGTGTCATTGAATTCATTACCTGTAGCCCGAACCTCTTGGCTAGGCTATTCAAAACGAACTGCATTCTTCCCTCTTGAGTATGGTTGTTCTGTAATCTTTCTCTTTGTGAGTGCTTCTGCCTGTCTGCTGTCTTGTCAGTAGTTTGCTTCTGGCTACACACCGCGCTCATTCGTTGTTCTCACCTGCGTTGCCGACAAGCAGTCTACTCCTGCAGAATCTCCAGTATATTCTCCAGCCTGTCTGCTGTCTTGTTGTCTGACTGCTTCTGGGTACACACCACCCCTGCAACACCGACATGCAGCCTTCAAGAGTTTCCCTGCCTGCCTTCTACCCTTTCATCTGTACTCCTCTGGCTGCACTCCTTGGGAACCCCAGGTGACGCTGGCCAGCAACCAGTTCACTATTCCTCCTGGTTACATATCACTCCCCTCCTCAACTGGCATGCGATCCAGACAAGCCTTCTCACCTGTACGTCCTGGTCCTCTGGTATTCCTGGTACCTGCCATCTCCAGTCTACCCATCTGTATGCTCCGGTCCCTTGGTCCTCCTGGTGCCTACTGCCCGTGCAATATTCACCTGCACACCCTGATCCTCTGGTCCACCTGATACCTGCTGCTCCTGCCACACTCACCTGCACACCATTGTCCTCAGGCCCCTCTGGTCCCTGCCCGGCCTGTCCCCAGCTCTTCACTGCTATACTCTTCTTGGTCTGTTTTTGCAATAAACTCCTTTCTGCTGTCACTCCTCTTCTGAGTTTCAGAGTCTGCATTTTTGGGTCCTACCTCACATGGTCACCACAGAAATGGCAGCCTTATCCCTTCATTTTTTTATAATAAGTAAATGTTGTAATAAACATTTCAGGATAAAGGGTTCATTAAATATATCAGTATCAAGAGATGAGGGAGGTTGGTTAATGTCAGTAATGGGTTTTTTTTAAGTGCTAAGATCTCATTTACTGTATCATTTCACCTGATAGTATGAAATGTGAAAGGCAATCATCAACTTGCTACAAAAAAGTGGCATTTCAAATTAAACTGGTTTATGAGCATCCTAATATTCATCTCAATCCCATCATCCACCTGAGAGCCACAATGCTTTAGCATCAGTGGTGCACTGAACACACACAGCCATCTGTTTCTGCTGTTTTAGTTTATACTGTGTTAAAAATGCGATTTTTAATTTGTATACTGAGAGCATACTAAGACACAATTCACATGACAGACAAAAATCTTCTTTCTTTTAACAATTACTTTTATTTCATGAATATTGATGTAGACCAGTGGGACTTTTCTTACAGTAAGGCATTTCTGTCCTTAGTCCAAATAGTTTCAGTGCCATTTTACAATATTGCTTCATTTTTCCATCAGCTATGTGCGTTTTTCCCTCTGTAAATGTCTTTGAATGTCTCTCTTTGTGCACAAAGTAACAGGATTTCCTCTGCTGTCTAAATCCAGCTTGTTGAATGTGGATGAAAAAATAAAAGGCTTAACTAATGTTCTAATCTGTTGTCATGGTTTCTTTCTCAGCGACAAAATGTTTCCTGCTCTGGGATTTGGCGCCCAACTCCCACCAGACTGGAAGGTATGTATGTGTTTGCTGTTGTTGTTGTTAGTGTGTGTGTGTGTGTGTGTGTGT